CCAGGGAGGGATAGAGTGGAAGTGGCTACAGTTCTGGTGGAGATGGGCACAGTGGGCATCCTCACACTTGTGGCGCAGGGAGCTGGCTCAGTTTGTTTCTGTGACGGAGGCGATGGTCAGTTATGTTTCTGTGCATTGCTGTTAAGGCCTGTGCTGTCCAGTACAGCTCCCGGAGACTCCACGCAGGGCTACTTCATATGGAACGAGGCTTTTGGGTGTGGCTCTTAGTTCTGTTCCTGATCTTTGTAAAAACTTACCTACAGGTAAGCTGAAGGGATTTGAAGCAGATCCTTATAGAGACGGAAGTAGTAAAGCGTAGAGGTGTGGCATTGAGTGGGTCAGAGTTCTAATTCTGTTCTGTTCCCACCCTGTGTCCTATACCTAAGACAAGCCACTGTGAACTCTGAACCTCCATAAGGAACAGATGGAATTCGAGATGTTTCCTCCATCCTGCAGGATTTGAATGAGGCCATAGTGTCTTCACAACAGTGCTACTGTCTGTTCACAATCTCTCTATCACTATCACTTTCATTTTTTAAAATTTTTTTAATTTTTTTTTTTACTATGGAAAGCACTTTCTTATACTGGTCGCACAACTGTTGATAATTTGTAAGACCATGTGTCCACAGTTGAGGTATCTGAAGACCACGGCCTCAATGGGGCCAACACAACAGCTAGGTATGCCAATTTTCAAGGGTTCGATACCCCACCCTCCCAAAACAGAGAGGGGTAAGGGTTATAGGCCAACAGATAAGGCTGTGGCTTCAGGAGGTGACCAGCCTGAATGCACAGTCATCTGGACTTGGGAAAGTTACCTGCAGTCCACTGAGGACTAGTAATTTGCTCTGTGCTCTCATTCAACATCCCAAGAGAGGCCTCCACCCAACTAGTATCTGTCCAGCTCATGTTAGCTCATCCCAGGCTCCTATGCGTCAGCATTTCCGTGGCTTTGTGCACAGTGACTCAGCAGAAGACCCAGTTCTCACACCATCTCCCAGGAAGCTTGTGTGTGTGTGTGTGTGTGTGTGTGTGTGCGCGCGCGCGTGCACGCGGGGGGGGGCGGTTGAGGGTGGAGCTGGAGATTTGAGGTGGAGTAGGGGGAATTGACAACAGTCAGACTTGTTAGAGAGAAGTCATCCTACCAACCCAAACCTTTGAATTTCTACTAGGGATTTTGATGTGACTCAACTCAGTATCTTGGATGAATATGGTGCAAGTCTGGATCCAAGTTTGGCTTTGTGTATGTGGTTTTTTCTTAGTTATAATTTTTCCCCTAGAAATGTCTTTGAAGATGCCTGCTGGGCCATCCTCATCATCCTTGATATGCTGGGGTTCATTGCTACAGTCACTGTGTCAACCCATCTGATTGAATGTCTTCTTCTTTTGCTGACCAGAGTCTTGTTGTTGTTGTGTACTGTCAAGTCAGAATGGACTCACAGCTGACCCTCCAGTGGATTTTTGGAGGCTGTAAATCACATCAGAGGAGATTGCCCATCTTTCTCTCACGTTGTTGCTGTTTGCTGTCAAGTTAGAACTGACCCTTAGCTAACCGTCCAGTGGGTTTTCAGAGGGTGTAAGTCGCATGGGAGGAGACTGCCCATCTTTCTCCCACACAGCAGCTGGTGGGTTCGAACCACATTCCTTTGCGTTGACAGCACCAACTCCTTCCCACTAAGCCATAGACTGGTATTGCACATATCCTGGCAAGTAGAAAAGGCGTAAAGAGGATCTCCGGCTTTCGTGCTTTATGATGCTTTGGCATCCAGATAGAGCTTGTGTTTAGAAGTGCTGTTGAAATGCTGATGGGACCCCAGCTGTTCTGCACAGCGGCAGCCTGTCATCCATGCACACGGGGGGACAGGTGGAGAGCAGCGTGCAGACTTGGCTCCGAGCCCGCTGGTGACAGCAGATGAGGATGAGTCAGCTCTCACTCAGGAGATGAGCCCCACCCTTCAATCATAGCACTTTCCCCCAGACACCAACCTAAGCGTGGAGAGTGGCCAAGGCTTCCATTTCAAACTCGTAATTGGCAGGTTTGGTCCTGAAACCCCATCATAATCCGTCTCTAAAATTGCAGAGTGCTCGCCAGCTAAAAATGTGCAACTCCATTTGGTCGTGATACAAAAACGCCACCTGTACTGACCATGAAAATAGCAACCTGTAGAGAAGGTTGACAAGTACGTGAGATCTTAGAGTCTCGCGCAATGAAAACAGATCCCAAGCTCAACACTTGCACTTCTGAGGTGGGCTCTGGAGCCTTCAGCAGAGAATGTGGTAATGCCTGTGTTATAACGTGGTAATCAGAACCGGGCATTCACGTGGCTCTCACTGAGCCAGTGTGAAGTCTGGTTACATTGCTTTGGCAGCATCTCGGGTGAGTTTTCTCTCTAATTAAAAAAGCCAGTGATAGTACGTTGTTCTGCTGCCTTTTTAACCACTCTAATTTTAGTGACCTCCTGGGTGCTCTGGTTGTCAAAGATGGGTTAGAGATCAAAATTGCAGGCTTCCCACCATAGCTAAGGGCATGGTGCTATAAGCGAGGAAGACCTCGCCATAATGGGGCATGCACTTCTGGAAAATGAGCTCAGCTAGTTAGGAAGCTCGGAGGCGAAGGAAGGGGCTTGACTAGGAGCCAGGAGGCGAATTCTGTGCTTGGTTTGTTAGTGTTCCAGGTTGGTGTTCTTGGTTCTTCAGGCTTCTCATTCCTCACGTGTGCATGGCCCGTCGAGTCCCCGACCCAAGCACTTAATTCGGGTGCTCTCTGGAGATGCAGTGTGATAAAAACATGGATATGCTTTGTAAACTTAGGATGCGACAAGAGAATTAAGAGCCCCTAGCAGCACAGAGCATTCCGTGTTACACTGGTAACTGGAACGTCTGAGCTTTGAGTCACCAGCCACTCCATGGAGGAAAGATGGTCCGCCTTCTCCCGTAGAGATTTCTAGGCTCAGAAACCCAACAAAGAGTAACCTGGAGTCAGAATTTACTCAGCAGCGGAAGTCTGAGTTCTCTGGTTCTGATTTAGACCTAAGGTTGCCGTAATGTTTGACAAGCACAAAGCAAATGCCCACAGACGTTTCCTAAGAGGGTCAGTGACTATTCTGAAAGAGCATCAAAGAAAAAGGCAAAAGTGTCGACTGACGTTCACAATGAATTATGTCTGGATGCAGTGCCCACCAAACACCGCTCTGGACTGACCTGGAATCAGCGTTCCAGGATGGACATGGAGCCTTCGCTGAGAAGCAGCATTTTTTCCTCTGTAGAAATTTCGAGGGGGATCTTGGTGACAACATGGTTAAGCATTTAAATACTAACCAAAAGGCTGAGTGTTTTAATCCATCAGCAACTCTAAAAGAGAAAAACCGTGGCAATCTGCTCCCGTAACATGTATAATCCAGGAAACCTATGAGGCAGTTCTCGGTCCTGCCGTGTTGCTGTGAATTGGACTCAACAGCAGACCACTGCCACCACCACCACAACGTTATTTCTAGGCAATGGAGTGACACTGCAGGGCCACCGATTGACGTGGGCCCACAGTCCTTCCAAGCAGGAGAGGACTTTGCAACGCCTCCCCTATCCTCATGGGCACTCAGTGACCCGGATGCACCATGCTCCAGCAATGCTCTTCCTCTTTGCTCAGACCACCTCCTCTGCCCTGTTATTCCTCGTCAGTCACCTTTGCTGGCACAGCCACATGGCTTGGCCTTGGCCGGCATCATGGTTGGCACTATCGCAGGGTGTGATCCAGGCACATGAGGACCTGGTTTGCATCATTCTCACCACTTCCCTTTGGCGCTATTGGACATGTAATTCCCACCTCCCTGTGCGTCGTTCCCTTCATCCTTCAAGAGGGTGTATAGGAGGGTTTCCCAGGAGACCGACTCTGAGGTGGAGGTTTGCATGAAGGAAAATTAGCAAGGGGGGCTCTCGGTGATAGTAATTGCAAGGGGGGTGATGGTGGGTGGGCCGGGCCGGGGGGAGGACGAATGTCAGTTTAAATTGCAACAATGGCTTCTCAGAGTTATCCTATCATGAGAAAAAGGATCAAACTTTATACATACTGTTGTTTTAGGTGGTGATGGACCCATATGGTCCCCATGTGACAGAGTAGAGCTTCCGCACTGGGGTTTTCAAGGCTTTACAGGAATAATTCACCAGGTCTAACTTCTGTGGAGATGCTGGGATGATTCTTTCTAGAGCAGAGACACACCCTGGAGGAAGATTCAGCTGTGGACCAATAGCCACCAACATCCCATCAGTTGGAGAAATGAGAATCTCAACTGAGGAAAGAGGGTAGCACGGTGTCCGCTACAGAGGGTGTAGGGCCTGTCCCCTTCAATGAGATTCAGCGAGTGTCCATTAGAGAGGGTGCTGGGCCTGCCCCCTTCAATGAGATCTGAAGACACGAGAGCCATGATGCACAGTGTACACGGGTCTGGGATGGTCATTACTAGTTCTAACACCTAACGGTTGCATCGTAACAACCACATTCTGGCACTCTTTTTTTCCCACCTTCCCTCCTGTTTCACTGCGAGGCACTTAAGGGAAGTGCTGCAGTTGTTAGGTGCCAGCCAGGCAGTTCAGACTCGTGGCAGCTCCATGTATGTACAACAGAAGGGCACACCACCCGTCTGGCACCATCCTTGTTCCTCTGTGGAGCTGGAGCCCATGGCTGCAGCCGTGGCATCAATCCACCTCCCTAAGGATGTTCTTTCTGTCTGACAGTTGTACTGAGCACCATGTCCTTCTCCAGGGGCTGGTCCCTCGTGATAAGGGAAACATCACACTTGTATTTATTAGTGGTATTATGTATCTTTGGGTCCCTACGCCTGGCTGACGCACTGGGCTCATGAACAACTTGTAGCCTGGAAAGAGGGAGAAAGGGACAATGGTGGTGACATGAGAAGTGTCCCTGAGGTTGGGAACGTTTGAGAGGGCACAGTTATTGATCCTACACACGGGTGGGATCTGTATGTGACCATCCTCTGCTTTTTTCTTAGTCTCTCTGGATGCATGGCAGCTGCTGACCTCCTCTTCAGTCATTGTTGATTCGTCCATCCAGCACTTTGACGTGGCACACATTAGCACTGCTGCCGACAACGACTTCCCTGCCGCCAGAGACCTCTGTTTACTGGGTAAGAGGAGTTGCCTCTTCTTGGAAGCGTGCCTGGCATGGGGTTTTCAGTACCACTCAAAATTTTGACCTCAGAAGCACATGTGAGAGTCCGTGGTAATGTAGGATGCTTGGCAGGGAGGAAATAAACTAAGACATAGATCCTGGACAGGATCTCTTCTGCAGGACCCCTACTGCTTTCCCAGGATCGATCTGTAGTCCAGGTCTCGGGGAAGATAAGCCCACCAGCAAGTGAAAGAATATTAAGGCAGGTTCTGGGAAGATCACAAACAGAATCCTCGAGTGGTCTGAGGCAGAGGGGATTTATGGAATCCTGGCCTCACTGTCCTCAGATGACAGGCCATTGTGGAGAGGAGCAATTACACCTGTCTGGCCAGCTGACTGTGCCAAAGCTGGGACCAGGGGTGAAGTCAGAGCTCAGCAGACATTTTTCAGTTGAGCACACGTTTTACAAGTTAGGATAACAACACGAGAAAACACGTCTATAATGTAGACAAGGATGTCACATGCAGATTCATAGATTGCACACCGCACGTCTCTCTGGATGGTGCCATTCCTGGATCGGGTGGGGCATAGGACCTTAGGCAGCTCATAACATGCCCAAACAATGCAGCAGCCTTACTTTCAGAGCTGCTCTCAAGAAGGAATACCACGATGCTAGGAATCACTTGAATTATCTAATGTAGCATCGGACACTTTATGTCTAATGGAGTGTCTAAGGAGTGGCTCTTGGTGGAATTCAGTGGGTACTGTATGGAGGATAGAGGACACAGACGAGACACAAAGAGAATGAAGCTGGAGACGCAAAGGTTGGAACATGGAAGACCTTGTCTGATAGAACTTGATTTTGTGTGCAGCTAGGGAGCCATGACAAGGATACAGTTACCAACTACATCGTAAAACCCCTAGATTTTATGTGGAAAATGGATTTTGGAGAATATCAGATTCCTCACACTATAATCTTATATCCAGATCCTGCTAATGCTTGGGATGTACCACTGATACTCATTTGAATAAGTGGCTGGTTGTGTGGACTGGCGGATGGATAGATGAGTGAGTGAATGGAGAGATGGATAGATAGATAGATGATAGATAGATAGATATTGACTGAGAGAAAGATAGAGAGAGAGATAGAGATGAATCTGGTGGCATGGATGGGTGGATGGATGGATGGATGGATGGATGGATGGATGGATGGATCGTCCATGGACTAATGAATGGGTGGACTCATGGACATATATATGTATGCATATGCACAGGTGGGTAGGTGGAAAGATGGATGAATAAATGAGTGTGTGGGTGTATGAATGGGTAGATGGGTGGACGGACATACACATGGATAAATGAATGGATACATGGGAACCTGGAAATATGGATGAATATGGTGGTTTTTGAGGTCTACATTCCATGCTTCTCCTTCTCTACAGAGTGTTCGCGTCACCAGGCCTGCATCGTCACCACTCTGCATCCCCAGCCTGGGGCTGTGAGGTGCATGTTCTATGCTGACACCCAGAGCTGCACACACAGTCTGCAGAGCCAGAGCTGCCGCCTGCTGCTCCGGGAAGAAGCCACCTACATCTACCGCAAGAAGCCAGGTAAGCCGTGAACTGTGTAGCTGCTGCTGGGAGCCCAGGTGTGGCCTGGAAGGGACTCTTCAAGCGTAAGATGATTTGACAGGCAGTGAGTGACTTTTGAGATATATTTAAGGAAAAGTTGGTCAAAGTTACTATGGCCTAGTTGACGCGTGTAGACTGAAGAAGGTAAAGAAATTACTTCTAACATAGCTTCTCGCCTTACTTTTACTAGATGATTCCTTTAAATTATAAAAACAACTCTGTTCTTTGATTTTCCTAGTAAAATAATTAGATAGATCATTTATATTCTTTTTTTTGTGTGTGGCTAACAAACTTCTTCCTTACTCTTTATTTCATTCGGTGCTAACATCCTGCGTGTGGGCAGAATGGGAGTCTTAACTCTTCCTACACATCAGGAGACTAGGGCCCAGGGAGTTAGGTTACCGCTCTTCTCTCACACAGGCAGTGATGCCAGAATGCAGCCCCATCTCCCATCCTCACTTGCTCACCACAGAGTGCTCTCTGGATCATAAACACTTCCGAGGCAGCTTTTCCTGGTTCAATTTAGTTTAAAAACACTCTGTGGGTTGCTGCTGTGTGCCAGGCATTGTGCTGGGTGGTTAGGATCCAAAGAAGACAATCGAGACAAACTCCATAGCTGAACAGCGGTCCTACAGGGCAGAGAATGGAGCCCTGGTGGTGTACCCCACAGGGAGTGGTGCTGTTAGCCTGAAAGCCGAGCCTCTCTGGTAGTTCAAGTCCACAAGCGGCTCTGCAAGAGAAAGACGGGCAGTCTCCTCCCGTGTGATCTGGAGCAGATGAAAATACCCCGGCTTGGGGAGGATGCACTTTCTTCTTTAAACTGACGTCTGTTCTCCAGAGGGTGTTAGAAGGCCTGCTATTTCAGAAGTGGGTGGCCAGGCCTACTTCACACTGCTCCTTAGAGGCAAGGATGGTGAAACTTTGTCTCACTTACTCTGGGTGTATTTTCAGGAGCAGTAAGTCCTCGGAGAGGGACATCATGCTGTGAAGGTGGAGGGTCAGCAAAAGAGAGGAAGACCCTCAATGAGATGGGTGGACACAGGGACTGCCACAGCAGACGCAGTGCTGCAAGTGAGCATGACAGACGTTGCAAGCACGGTGCAGGATAGGGCAAATTCAGCCTACGGTTTATAGGGCACTCTGGTGGTCTAGTGGTAAGAAGCTGCACTGCAATTCTGAAGGCACACGGTTCGAATCCACGAGGTGCTCCACAGGAGAAGGATGAGCAGTATCCTCCCATGTGATTAACTGCCTCTGAAAACCTGCTCGAGGCGCAGCTGTGGGTTGGTTCCAGCTTGATGGTAAACAACAACAACAATGACAACAACAACAATAGTCATATCAATGAAAGAGAGGAAGACACCTCCCCACCCCCAGTGAGATGGGCTGAGGCAGTGACTACAGCAATGGGCTCAAATGTGTCAGAGATGCTGAGGATGACACGGGATAGGACAGGGTTCAGATCTGTCATTCACAGGATCTCTGTGATACTGGACTCAACCTTAACTAAGAGCAATTACAACAGGAGTTGTATTCAACTCAGAACGCACCAGCCCAAGGCCCGTCTGTGCTATAGGTATTCAGCTCTGCCATTATTCTAAGAAAACAGTAATAGTTATATCAGTGTTCTAATAAAACTTTATTTAAAAAAAACCAGACAATGGATCAGACTTTGCCGAAAGCAATGGAAGTCCTTCAGAGTTGTCATAAAGCCAATTCCTCCCTTTTTCTGTGCTCCCATCCACTTCTGTCGTCACGCCAGGAGAATGACCTCTAGGTCAGAGCTGGAGGAGACCTTGAGCTTTAGATATCATAAGTCATGTTTTACTTACACTCTTGTTGCTGTCATGTGCCTTTGCGTTGATGCTGACTCACAGGGACCCCACGCACAATAGGATGAAAATTCTCAGCCCTGTGTCATCTTCACAATCTGAGCCCATTTTGCAGCCGCCGTGTGAATCTCTCTTTTTGAGATTGTCCCTCTGTTATTATTTATTCCATTTGTGTTCTTTTTCAAATATTCCAAAACTCTAGCCTATTGCCTTGCGTTCAGAACCTACTCATAGCTGATCTTCCAGCAAATTTTCAGAATCAATCACATAGGAGCTTGCTTATCCCCTGAAGCCACTGGTGGATCTGAGCCACAGAGAGACACGGCCTTTGGATTAACAGCCTCACGCCCCACACATGGCTCCCCCAGACCTCCTTCTGTACCGTTTAGTCCACTCAGATGTCAGCAGTGCACTTCTGCAGTTGTGTAGCTAATACCCAGACAGTCCTGTTGGAAATGCTTGAACTGAAGAGTTCTGTAAAATCAATCAGGACACTTCTCTCGTCATTCTGAGAGACTTGATATCCACGGGAAATTCTCACTTGGAGCAGAAGATGTGTGGGCACATGCCTCTGGCTAGAATTCACTTGTCACTAATACACAAATACAACTACAGATCATTTCCTGAGCCCAGGGTCACATGGTCCGACAATGTGCATGTCCTGGAAGGGACGCACCACTTCTGCAGTTTCCATCAGAAGAGAGGCTGCACACTGGCCATGTTCCCTAAATTTTATCTCATTCTGTCCAGGATTTGCTGGGCAGCGTGCTCACCCCGCTGTCAGCGCCACAGCAGGCTTGCCTTCCCTCGAAATTCTTTCGCTTTTATGATTTTCTTTCTTCACTCTGGGCTTCAATAGAGTTGGATCCATGAAATGTGGCTGCATCCTTGAGCCAAAGAATCGGCTTCAGAAGCTTCTGCCACATTAGTCTCCACGGTCCTGAGGGCTCACTGAAGTTCTTAGATTTGTGATTGCAACAGGAAGTCTCGTGAGCGGATCTGTGGGGTGAGACGAGCTGGGATTTGTGATTGCGGCCAGATGAGGAAGGGACAGTCACTTCTTTCCATCCCCAGTTTCCGCTTTCAGTTCTAACACTTGATCAAGTTTCTGGCAACAGATTATTGTCATTGGGTGCTCTTGAGTTAACTATGACTCAGAGTGACCCTAAAAACAACACATCTAAACCTGGCTCCACCCTGCACCATGCTCAGGACCTCTGCCAAGTTCAAGCCCCCTGTTCCATTCACTGTGCCAGTGTGTCACACTGAGGACCTTCCTCTCTGTCACTGACCCTCTTGTTTTCCCAGCTTGATGTCTTTTCCAAGGAGATGAAGTACCATCATCTTTGCCTCTAAGAAGCACCCTGGCCACACTTCCTCTAAGAATTGTACTTGCTTGTTTGGCAGTCCGTAGGGTTTTACTGTTATTTTTTTCTCCCTTTCCTCTTCCTGTCTTTTCCTCCTTTCTGCCTTCCCCCCATTCCCTCTTCCCTCTCTCCCTTTATGCCTTTTCTACACCCTTTCATCCAGGGGTCTGTGATTGGTTTAATGCTGCCCTGGGCTTGCTGAAGTGAATGAAACACCTGTGGCCTCTGCCCTCCCGGCTTTGATGCTCTGGGGAGATACAGACAATAAATCTAAATGACGACAAAGTTGTGTCCCCGGAATAATCAGGTCCCCACGTGCTGCTTGTCTGCCTGATAACCACATCGTGTTCAGTGAGACTTCTGTGTGGAATGAAGGGGAGACTGTACCATGTGGTGTCTACTTCCTACCTAAGAGGCGCTGTGAAAATACAACAGTGTGCCACATATCTCTGACATGCTTGCATTATGGCTATGGCTATTATGCCCATTTTGCAGATGGGAAAATTAGGGATCCGAAATACGGCAACGTTTTCTCCACAGGGAGCTGGTCCGACCCCAAACAGACTATCTGTTCCTCCTCCCCAGGCTGACCCACAGTGAACCTTCCGACAAACAAAAACCAAAACAGTCAAACAAAACAAACACATTTCACCCCCTTCTGATGCATGTTTACCCCATAGAATGTTGCAGAACTCTTGCACCAAAGGATCTCTCAGGCTGGGAACCTTTATGGAAGGAAATGGCTCCATCTTTCCACACAGCAGAGCAGCTGATGGTTTTGAACCACCAACCTTTCTGTTAGCAGCCCAGAGCTTAACCTACAAGGCCACCTGAGCACCTTGGAAGCCTTTAGCGTGGTGCTGGGTGAGAGAGGCCATAAAAGCATTGTGGTGACGAAGGGGAGGAGATTGTTACTGTCATCGGGGCCGGAGATGGGATCCTGAGCCTGGGGAATGTTGCAGCCTGATTGGGGAGAAGTACAGAGATGAAGCGAGGAGAAGGCATTAGCGTGTCGCTGGGTGAGGGAGACCGGAACGTTACTGGATGGTTCAGGAAGGAGTCACTGTGGTGCTTTACAGGTGTGCTTGTGCCTGACACAGGGCGGCACATTGAAAACTAGCCTGACTACGCTTAGACTAGCAGTCTTACTGAATTACTAACCCTTTCAAACTCCACTAAGGGGTGGCCATGTGTACTATGTGTGTGTATGGATCATATTCGGAATACCTGTAACTGGAGAGGACACTGATGGGCTCTCTCTCTCTCCTCCTCTCTCTTTCCCTGACCCCTCATCCACGTTGCCCCTCCTGACAGACACTGCCCTGTTCAGTCTCGAGGCATCTTCACCTTCAGTGTCCATCACCACCCATGGCCGCCTGCTGGGCAGGTCTCGGGCTGTCCAGGTGGGCACTGCCTGGAAGCAGGTCATCCAGTTCCTTGGAGTGCCGTACGCTGCCCCACCCCTGGCAGAGAACCGCTTCCAGGCTCCGCAGCCCCTGAACTGGACCGGCTCCTGGGATGCCACCAGGCCTCGGTAAGGGGACAGTGGGCACAGGTTGGGGAGAATCCTGAGACGTTCTCTCTTATTCTCCATCAAAGCAATGCTCAGCAGCAGAGAACCATATTCTGAGTTGAGTGCTGTGAGTGGGCAGGAGGTGAGGAGGCCAGAGGAAAGTGGGTTCGTGTGAAACCCATGAGCTGACGCAGCCTGTGCTCTGTCCCTGCCATGGTTCAAGGACCCAGGCCGGGCCAAGGGAAGGGCTCCTCTCTCCAGCAATTGGCTCCCAAGATCCCCTGGGCAGTGCATCCTGGGAGGATTCTAGAAGAGTCTCTAGAAGAGTGATGGTGTCTGTGGGCTGAGGCTGGAGACGGCTTGTACACACCACGCACGTCAGTTACATCTGCTTGACAATGGGCAGGGTCCTGTCCCCAGGCCTCATCTCCCAGTCACGTTTGACGTTAGCAGGGCTGGGAGATACAGCCCAGAAGGGAAGGCTGATGAGCTCGTGAACAGATTTCTTTTACAAGAGCCCTTAGTTATTTCTTTTCAGTAAACCCATTGCCACTTTGTTGACTCCAACTTCTAACAGCAGAGGCGGAATAGTCTAGGCAGACCAGATGTCCTTCAGAGCGTCCGAGGCTGTGGGCTGCTCGGGGCAGACAGCTGTGTCCTTCTCTCATGTAGCGGCTCCTGGATTTGAACCATCAGACTTTCAGTTAGTGCCTGAGAATGTAATCACTGCACCTTGAAGGCTCTTTTTAAAATTTTTACAGACAGATAATGGTAAAAAGAGTTTCCCAAAAAGAAACCAAGGTTGTCATTTCCCATGCCCCTCCCCCATTGGCTGTTTTCCGTTTTGCCCATTTTGTGCCGCTCACAGACCACTGTTAGCAGCTAGCATTTTAGTGAGCTGTTCTGTGAATTGTCACTTAGAATGCTCAAAAGAAAAGAACCTTCATCCATTTCCCACCTCCTGCATGTCCCCCCTTTAGCAAGCTCCTCTCTGTCTGTCCTAGGACAGCGACTTCCATGTCCATTGTCACCCAGGGCCCGGTGCTGAACAGGTCCCACACCTGGGCAGATAGCTAGAGGGCTTTGTACATCCCAAGGCAAGGAATCCTGAGGGCTGTACCTGGACAGAGGCAAGAGGGATGCAGAAAGGGCCACTCTTGACACTGACCCAGCGTTGGCAAACACGACGAGGAAAGGCTATTTCATTATTACTTTTGTTGGTATTGAGTTGAGCTCGACTCATTCCACCCGATGAATAAAAGGCCTGAAGCCTTTCTGTAACTGTAAACATTTATCCAAGTTCATAGAGTTTCTGGAGGTATGTTGTTTAGGAAGTGGATGCCACTTCTGCTTTCATCGGAGTGATTAAATATATCTCATGTTGAGAAATACCCATTTGACAGATAAGGGATTAAATCACAAGGGTCTTCAGTGGTAATTGGAGATCTTCAGGCCAGTGGATTCCGGTGCTAAAGAGACTGAGCTGATGGCTGCATGCAGTTGTATTGTGGCTGGTCTCCCCAGGTTAGGCATGGCCCCACGCATGGTCTCAGTTCTTCTACCAGAGCTGACACATCAGGACTCTATTGATGGCCAGAGCAGGCCAGAAGGCCATCGAACAAATGCTGTGCACGCCTGGGATGGGGGAGGGAGCCCTGCAGTGACCAAAGTCCTGAGGGGCATCATTGTCTCCTCTTTCTTGGGTCATTGAACCAGCACCCTGTCTTGGAATGAGCCGAGAGAGGGATGGATACTCTGCTATCCCTCCATTCACACACCACTCCCCTCTCCTCTTCCTGAAGCTTCCTCCTTACCAAGAGCATGGTGTTATGTCTTACCTTACTAGGATAATGGGCTGTGAGCTGGCCAGTGGTCATCCTGATGGGACACCAGGTGTGGTCAGGACAGTATGCTATGTCTAACTTCAATGGGACACTCTATGGACAGGGTAGTGGTGGTGTCTCACCTTGGTGGGCCTCAAGGTGTGAACAGGACAGTGATGCTACATCTCACCTGAACCAAACACAAGGCCATGCAAAGGACGGTGGGCTTTGGCCTTGGTGCTGGGTGGGAAGTGTCCCATCAAGCTGCCTCTCAGAAGTCACTTGCTCCGTACCTGCAGGGCCAGCTGCTGGCAGCCTGGAGCCCAGACGCCCTCACCTGGGATCAGCGAGGACTGCTTGTACCTTAATGTATTTGTCCCTGAAAACCTGGTGAGTACGGAGGCCCACGTGATGCTGTCTTGGAATGTCCCCCTGGGAAATCTGCTCTCCCACAGTGACTCACCCCTCAGGAAGGGCTCCATCCAGGCCAGGCCGTGCCCTCGGCACTGAAGACTCAAATGGTTGAATTCATGGAGGATTCCTCCACCACCTTGCCCTGCCCTTGCCTCCTACACCACCTGACTGGCGCTGAGCGCCACATAGATGGTGCTATCCCCATCACATTTACAAAGGACCTGCTGCCCCCAGACACTGTCCTGGTGCTGGCACACAGCCAGGAACACAACAACGTCGCTGCCCGCCTGGGCTTCCGGGCATTACCTCTGACAGTCCTGTCTAAGAACTGACAGGGGCTGTGGGGACTCAGATATCAGGATGGGAAGTGAGTGGTTACAGGTGATATTTGCGCAGTGGTGGGGGAGACTGAGGTGTCAGGCCAAGCCTGGTCTATGGCATTTAAAAAGACCACAGAAATTGTTTCTTTGGGATAGGCATTGCCAGCAGTCCTACTAGCACAGATGGTTAAGTGTTTCGTTCTTTACCGAAGAGTTGGAGGTTCAAACACACCCAGTGGCTCCACAGGAGAATGATCTGGAAATCTACTCTGTAAGGATGATCATCTAGAAAACCCCTAAGGAGCAGTTCTCCTCTGCCACACGCAGACTGTACTAGTTGGAGTTGACTCAAGGGTACCGAGTAACATGGATTACCAAGACAAATTTCCATCTCAGAGGGGCTGAGTAAAGGTGACACTGAGGGCAAACAGGTCTGTCTGCCAGAGGGTGAGAACAGGCTGCTTCTTGGAGGCAAGGATTTTAAAGCCCTGTCTTACATACTCTGGGCATATGGCCAGGAGGGGCCAGTCTTTGGAGAAAGACATCATGTTTAGAAGGGTGGAGGGACAGCACAAGAGATGAAGACCCCTGGACGAGATGGATTGACACAGTGACTAGGACAATGGGGGTGGGTGTGTCAGAAGCAATGAAATTGGCTCAAGATAGAGCAGTGTTCAGAGCTGTTGTTCAAAGGATCACTGTGAGTTGCAAGCAATTTGATGGCACATAACAACAACATCAACGTGAACTTAGAGCTAGAACCCCAGAGCTTATACCAGCCATTACTCCCTTTGCAATGAGCAGGAGTCTCCCCTCTCCGACCCTTGGCTTCTTTCCTGGAGATTGCCTTGAACCTGGCTGTCAGCAGAGATGGGGGCGGGGTGACAGGGAAATCTGGGGCTGGCACCTGTGACTGCGCCTGCCTGGGGAAAGGTGTGCCCACTCAGCTCTTGTGGTTTAAAGAGGCCTATCTCCAACCAGTACCCTTCTCCACCGCCCCAGGCCCCCAGTGCCTCGGTGCTGGTCTTCTTCCACAACACCCTGGAGGACACAGGGACAGAGAGGCGGCTGGCCGTCGACGGTTCCTTCCTGGCTGCTGTTGGCAACCTCATCGTGGTCACTGCCAGCTATCGCGTGGGCATCTTCGGCTTCCTGAGCTCTGGTAAGTTCTGGCCTTGATGGGGACAGCTGACCCCCTGGGCCCAGGCTTGCTCTCTGTGCAGGGTCAGCTCCTTCCTGAAGGCCCTGGCCTCTCCCCACCCAGCTGAGCACATATCACATCAACTACACCTGCCATCGTGGTGACCACCCACAGGTGATGGTACCTGTTGACAGTGGCCTGGTGCTTGCTAAGCTGTCCCAAGCACATCAAAGGTTTATGTAGATTTAGAAGAGGAATCAGGCCTGAGGTTAGAAAGGTAGTGACTTGATCAAGGTTCAGTGGTTAGGCAATCGTAGCGGCAGAGTTCACTGGGAGCAGAGCCCATTGCCCTAGAGAACTTCCGGTACACACAGCAGCCCTTCTGCCACAGGAAGGCCAGCCCCTGGGAGTGAGGGCTAGGCGGTGACAGGCTGCTCTCCTCCCTTTTCACTGTGGCCCCACTTGTGAAGATCAGTCTTCCTGACCCCCACATGGGCCCATCATCACCCTGGCAATGCCCTCTCCCTCCCCACGCAGCTTCAGGGCAGAGTTGATCCCTGGGCCAGTTGAAACCTGGCCACAGTCCTTCATCTCCAGCCCCACCTCCCAGGGCAAGAAAGGCTGCCGAGAGCTGTGACTGGGGGCTGGGGCCCAGCTCAGAGTCTGCTGCTCACTGTGCCCCTGGGCCCCAACCCTGTCTGTCTCCAGGTCTTAGTTTTCTGCTCTGTAAAGTAGGGGTGACTTTGCCTCACTTCCAGGGCATCAGGGGTCTCTGGGTGGCCCGGTGAGTTCTATGAAAGGAAGACGGTTGGTAGCACCAGCTGCTCCGTGAGAGGAAGATGAGGCTGGCTGCTTCTGGAAAGATTCTGGCCTCAGTCACCCTGTGGGGCAGTTCCACTCTCCTGGAGTCGTTAAAAGTGGACTCAGAGGTGGTGGATTTGGAGTTACTGTGGGGCTCCTGCAAGGTGGCGCCTGGGAAAGGGCTTCAGAAGTGGTCACAGGCTGTGCAGGACCTTGGACATGGACTGCGTGGCCTTGTGTCCCAAGTGTCTCCTTTAAAACCTGCAGTGGCTCGTATGTCAAGTACTAGCCAGCAGGTGGGCGACAGAGTAGCTGGGATGGAAGATTTGACTAGTGGATGAGAGGTGAAGAGCACTGAGTAAGAGCAGGCCAGAGGAGGGGCATGCGGGGTGGCTCCAGGGGCCTTCACGGCGAGGGGAATGAGGGCGGCACAGGTCGTGAGGACCAGGGAGGAGCTTGCGGTGAGGGTGCAGATGGGATATGGACGGCACGTTCAGACATAATGTGACCGCAGACAGCTGGGACACTTGCTGACAAGCAGATTTCCGATTTCCTTTCGAGCAAAGAGGTCCCTTGCCAAGGGCTGGGCCAGGGCAGCTGAAGGCATAGTTTTTACTCTCCCCCCTAAGCTTTTCTATTTGAACTGTGTGCTTCTCAGTCCCTTAAAGAATCGTTCTCAATGTTGGTTTTCTCCTGTAAAGTGAAGGAAACAATCCCTCGCCTCCTTCACAAAAGGCAGTCCAGGTAGCAGAGCTAGTTATGTGCTGGGTTGCTAACCAGGGGTCAGCAGTTCAAATCCATCAGCTGCTCTGTGGGGAAAGACAGACAGTCTGACTGGGTGAAGATTTCCAGCCTCAGGGAGCCCTGGAGGGAGGGTTGTTGAGTCAGCCTCCACTCCACGGCCGTGGGAGAAGTTTCTGTATGGTCTTTCACGTACGTTTGATGAGAAGCGACCATGCAAAGTGGGCTTTTGAAAGCTTTGGGGAAGCATAAAGAACAACTTGGGGGGAAAAAAGAGATGTTCTCCTGTGGCGGTGACTCTGCAAACACAGCAGGACCACAGCTTGTTGGGACCGCCCGTCCGCCGATAGCCATGGGGCACTGAAGCTGACCACCACAGACAGCGGCTAAGCAGACCCAGCTGACGTTTTGGCTTCAAGCATTTGTAGACAGAAGAGAGTGAATTTCCATGTGGTGTCTGTCTCCGAGGGGGTTTATGACTTTGTGGACTTCTCTTACCGAGAATCCATGTGCGTCTGGATAAGCGGCCAAGGGGTGGGGGGATGGCAGGAGCCCCCAAATCCCTCTCGTAACCTGCACCCATGACCGGGGCCCTGGCATAAACCCTCAGGAAGCATCCTCACCCTGGCCAAACCCTCTTCACCAGGCCGTGGCGCTGGAAGAGCAGCTCGGTGAGGCCAGCCTCCCGTGGGCAGTTCACAGGGGACACCTAGACCCAGGGGTCTGAGTGCTGTCACTTGTGCTCATTAGTACCTTTCACCCCAAACCAAGCCCACCACTCAGAGCGACCCACTGGGATCAAATAGAACTGCCTCCTCTGGGTTCTGAGCCTGTAATGTTTATGGAAAAAGACAGCCTCATTTCCCCCCTATAGAGCAAGTGCTGGGTTTGAACCACTGACCTTCTGGTTGGTGGTGGATTGTTTTAAGCACTGCGCTACCTTTGACTGTTGTTGGTGAAGCGACAACATGAAGAAGTATCAGTTGTGTTGTCACTGGCCACCTCAGACATCTAGGAAAGGCCTGGAGATTGAGCAGAATCGGTCCTTTGCTCTTGGTACTGGTTTGGTCCACACCCCGTTTTTCTCTGCATCACTTGATTCTGACTCCTTGTGACTCAGGAGGACAAAGCAGAGCTGCCCCTTAGGGTATTGGAGACTAATCTTTAGGCCAGGGAACTGTGGTGACGTAGTGCATTATATGTTGTTCTGATAACTGAGAGGCCGCTAGTTCAAATCCGCTCTGTGAGAGAAAGCCAACACTCCCCTCCTGTGAAGGTTTACAGCCTCAGGAACCCGACCGAGGGCAGCTGTGCATCAGAGTCAGCTTGATGGAAGGACGTGGTGTAGGTCCTACAGAAGCAGGCTGCTGTGTCTTTCTCTAATGCAGCAGTTGGTAGATTTGAACCCTTAACCTTGTGGTTGGCAGCCCAGTGCCTAACTACTGCAAAACATCTTCTTCGGTTTATTAGAGCTTCTCACAAGGAAAGAAAAACAAGTGCAGAGAATGGCAGAGAGAGGCTTTTTCAAGACGAAAAGGAGAAGGGAGGTGGGCATGATGGGGACCCTGGTGTCCTGCCAGTGTGGACTCATGTGAGGGCAGGAAGGGCACCCACAGCAACCCCCTGTGGGTGTACTGGGGCCAGGGGCACTGACCACTTGTCACACAATAGGAGCGATGACCGAAGGATGAATACATGAGATCAAAGTGTCAACAGTCAAAAGGACCCCGGAAGCAGAGTTTGCAAGTGGGCAGCCCTCTTCTGTGTTGAGCTTTGAGACTTTAGACTCCAGCAGGGATTGTGTTACTTTGACCTCCAGTCCAGGCCTCAGCCAGCACCAGGCTCAAAGCTGCCCTGTGCCTGAGAACAGCCGCTCTCTGGGCACTGGTCAGCCTGCACTGTCGGTCCCTCTCTGTATGTCACTGCATGTGATAAACACCTCCAGCCTATACCGCTGCATCCCAGAGAGAAATGGTCCCAGAGTCGGAAAAACCGGCAGAGGCTGGAAGCCAAAGGGGCTGCAGAAATTGGTCCAGACCTGAGGACAATCCTGCAACAGCGCAGACAAATGCTTCTCTGCTGGTCGCGTGCCAGCCAAGCCCAAGAGCCTTTCCGAGGAGCTGGCCATGCTCTGACGCACAGCAGGATGTGAAGGCCAGGGCAGGAGACAGCCACTTCTGCAACCCTGGTCCTATGGACAGGACACAGGTACCGAGTGACTGTCCTTCCGTAGGGCAGTACAGCCAGGGGCAGGCAGGAGATGTGGACGGGCCCCTCATTCCCTGAAGGCTGTGGGGACACAGAAAGCATGCTTTGGACAGACCACCCTGGGGACCACCGTGTGCTGGATCCCCTGGGTGGGGTCTGCCGGAAGAACAGCACAGCATCCTGCCCTGGGCAGCACCATCACACATGCAATTCCCTCTGACGGCACTTGGGCGCTAATTTGGAGACCTAGAGATATATTCTTTTTAAATGTATTTTATTTTATTATTTGTGTGTGTGTGTATACCGTCAAATCAGATCTGACTGGTACAAGAGGAGACTATCCCTCCTTCTCCAGCAGAGCATCTGGTGGATTCAAATCATAGACCTCTGGGATTGCAGTGCAGCTTCTTGCCACTAGGCCAACAGAGCTCTCCAAGACCTAGAGATTTTTGTTGTCATTGTTGTTAGGGGTGTTTTGGATGCTATTATTTTACTAACATGATATTTATAAGGACATGCTTGATGCCAGGCACTGGCCTAGTTTCTTTAAATTTAGAAACAAGTTGAACCTGGTGGTCTGAGCTCTGGCGGCGTAGGTGGTAGGGATCTCTCCTGCTGATTCAAAGGCCTTGCCTCTGGCTGTTTGAAGCCGTCAGCAGGTCCACGGGAGAAAGATGGGTAATCTCCTCCCCTGGGATTTACAGCCTCAGAAACCCGGCGGAGGGTCTGCTGTGAGTAGGTTTTGTTTAAACAGCAATGAAGGTGAGCTTTGGTGGCACAGTGTGCTATGGCCTGGGTTGCTAATTGAAAGCTCAGAGGTTTGAATCCACAAGTTGCTCCAGCAAAAGGCAGAAACTAGAATTCATGCGAGGGTGGATGTGAGCCCGGGAGCCAAGCTCTCCCCACTGCCCAGTGCCCCGTGGAAACAAGGGTCCTGATGTCTGGTAACAAAGTATTAATCCCCTCCGTGGATCGTAGGCCTGGCGTGGCCCAAGGCCGTGATGATGAGTCTGAGATGGTGAAGGACACTAGAGGAAGCTGCCCTTCTGTTCACAGGGTCCAGCGAGGTGAGCGGGAACTGGGGACTTCAGGATCAGGAGGCAGCTCTGACCTGGGTGCAGAAGCACATTGGACAGCTGGGCGGGGACCCCAGGCGTGTGTCCTTGGCAGCGGACCGCAGTGGCGCTGACGTGGCCAGCATCCAGCTTCTCACCTCCAAGGCTGCAGATGCCAGACTCTTCCGAAGGGCGGTGCTGATGGTGAGTCCCATTCTCAGTCCTGCCTCACGCAGACGCTGGGCTGCAGATGCCGGGCTGCAGACATTGTCGGGGCTGGAGGCTCACGATGCTTCTTGAGAACGGGGGTGGGTGGGGCCTTGACTTGCTTGGTTTTCTGTTATCCTGAGTCCTGAGTGTGGGTCCTGCTGGGGCGATTCACCTGTGTATTCATAATTCCGGGACAATGCAGTACCCCCTGACCACTTCTCCCTCATCTCAGAAATGAGCAGTGTTAGATGGGATGGGGCGCTGCTTCCTGAGAGTTCTCGTCCTGAACCTTGTCAGCGCCTTGTCGATAAATGAGAAGAAGGGGGTGGGGCGTGGGCCGAGAAGCTTTATGGAGGACACAAAGGTAAGAGTGAGGGTTCACGTCTGTCCATAAGATGCTGAGCAACACAGGACTGGTCACCTAGAGGGGACAGAATAAACCCAGATAGCGCTTGTCCGCCTCCCAGGGTCACAGCCCTGAGGGTCTCTGTTTGAAGATCCCCAGTGGTCTCTGTGTTGGATGGTCTCTTGCTGACAGGCTTCGTGTTTGGGTGTGGATTCCTCCCTGTGCTGTCTGGTTTCCCCAGCGGTCCTTGCTTTATCCCCAATGAGAATCCATCCCAGTGACATCTCTGGAGAATAATTCTGACTCTTTAACCTCACTGCTCGCTCTGTCGCGTTTGGGGTCACTTCGTTCTTGACGGTTGGGTGGAGGTGATTATGCCAAGCTTAGAACTCACCACTCAGTGGTCTGAGTCCTTGCTAGTGATGATAATATTGCTGAAGTTATGATGCTGTGATGTGATGTAGTAGATAATGTATTGGGCTTCTAGTAGGAAGGTCCGCCATTCAAATCTACCAGTCACTCTCAGGAACAAGCTGGTGATCCCTGATCCCCTGCTGTAAAAACGTAAGCTGTGGGACCCCGCTGGAGGTGCACACATGCATGCATGCCTCTGTCCTCTTCTCTGTCCTGCGGACATGATTGGAGCCCTCCTCACTCCAGCGGGACTTGTTTATCTGCGGGGGCTCTGGTTGCAGTGCACAGTGAGCTGCGTTTCTAGACCAAAGAGAGCACCTCTCTGGCGGTTCGAATCCACCAGCTGCTCCATGGGAGAAAGATGGGCAGTCTCCTTCTGTGTGATTTACAACCTCCAAACCCCCACTGGCAGGTCAGCTGGGGTCGGCTCCGGCTTAAAGACAATGAATTTTGAGCTTTGAGTCCCTTAAAAAGAAAACAGACCAACCGAGCACCCCAGATAAGGCTGCCCTCACTGCTGTAGGCAGAAGACATCACGGTCCCTTTCGGGGACCCTAATTCAGTGTCTGTCATAGACCTTGCTGGCTTGGTGTGGGCCCTGAAGGGTGGACCTCTAGCAGTCTCAGAGCCAGACTCCCTCCAGGACCCAGAAGACGCCTAACTACTTCCCATCAAGAAGCAGAATTCTCATTTGGAGAGTTTAGGTGTTTGAGGAATTTAAAAAATTAATCTGTTTTCACAAATGGCAGCATGTTTAAAAATAAACCCTCCCGTCTGGCTCCATCATTTAGACAACTTTGACAACTGCTCCCTGCCTGCAGGCTTCGGGAAGCTTGTGAAAGTGTGAGAAGTGAGAGGACAGAAATACTCCAGCCTATTAGCAGCTCTTAAAGGCGATCTTCACTCACAGATGTTTGGGGGAGATGTGGGATGGGCTTTACCCCCGGGTTAAATCTTAAACCTTTGTGCAAATCCTGGGACGAGAACTGTTGAAATGTCAAGCTTCTGTTCCCATGAGGGACACTCCTGTGATAACAATCAATGACATATGTCCTCAGCGCAATGAGTCTTGGCGATGCAGTGGTTAGGGGCTGGGTGTTTAACTCAAAGGTGAGCAGTTTGATCCCTCCAGCCGCTCTGTGGGAGAAAGATGTGGCAGTCCGTGTCCATGAGGATTTGCAATCCCAGAGACCCTCTGGGCTAGCGCTGCTGTGTCCTGTGGGTCGTTAAGTGGCAGAATGGACTTCCTTCATTTGTATGGAAGCAGACTGCTACGTCTGTCTCCCACAGAGAAGCGAGGATGTTTGAACTACCAACCTGTAGGTTAGCATCTGAGCTCCTAAGTCCTGCACTGCCAGAGGCCCATCTGTACCACCCAGGTTAATTATGCACTGACTGTGAACATAGCACCATGGCCCAAGCCCACTCTCGATTCCTGGCGGACCCATTACCTCCTGGGAAGCAGGGGAGCAGTGGGCACCTTCTGCACACTGGTGTCAGGTGCTTGGACGTTTCCCCTGGCTCCTTGAGTAACCACGCTCTCTTGTGCTTGTCTCCTTCAGACATGACCAAACTATTCCTGGATGTGAGTGCTTCCATTTATGTGTTGCAATAAATTTATTGAATTTTTAAAAAGTCTCACCCACCCCTAATTGAAAAGTTGATTATAAACTCATGGAATTTATCAATTAATTTCAGAAAAAAAATCTATATTTTTTTTCATTTATAACTGTCTTTATTTATTAGGTCACGTATCTCTTTCAAGCATTACTTTGTTCTTTTTCCATTGATGATGGGCCATTAAATTCCAAATCTAAAATTTAGCTTTAACACAGAAGTGCCCTTGAAATGTCAGCTTCTAAATGTGTCAACTGGTCACTCATTTATGCAAAATAAAGCCGTTTAATTGGTGCACAGCCCTGCCATTCCTCTTGGATTGCCGGGGCTGCTTTTCCGCCAGGATAGTGCTGAGTGGTTGGCAGAGGTCACGTGATCTGAAAAGTCTGAAACTTTTACTATCTCAACAGCAAATGTTCCCTAAATCCTGATCTAGTTACATATTGTGTCTTTTTAAAATATTTTATTCTAATTAGTTCTCTTTTATTATAGCGCAATGTCTGATTTTCTAGGACTTTTCTTTTATCATGTCTGTGCCTGGCTGTCCATGGGGAAAAAAATCCGTATTTTTATGATCTTGAACTTTTTTTATCTAAGAATTAGGAGGGCTCGGGTGACCTAGTGGTAAGAAGCTATGCTGCAATACTCAAGGTACACGGTTCAAATCCACCAGCTACTCCTCGGGAGAAAGGTGGACATTCTCCTCCTGTGCGATTACTGCCTCTGAAAACCCACTGGATGGTCAGCTATGGGTTAGTTCCTACTGACAATACACAAAACCAACATCCACTAATTATATTCATTACCACACCCGTAACCATAGTAATTTTTGTCCATTTTTTGTATTTTCCTAGAACTTGAAACTTCTCTACATAAAACTAAAAAACTTGTTGCTGTCAAGTGAGTTCTGACTCATAATTGACCCCCAAAATGGTTTCTGAGGCTCTAAATCCCATGAGAGGGAACCGCTTATCTTTTCCCTTCAGAGTCGTTGCTGAATCCGAACCAGAGAAGCGTGTCGTTTGGGTTAGGAATGCAACTTTCTATAGACTAAAGGTTTTGTAAAATCCTTCTAAGGCCATTTTCTGCACATGCTGTAGTTTGGGTAAACATTGTGAATGGAGACTTGCTTTTTGTTGTATTTCTGGGTTGGTGAACCCTGACATGGTGGGAAGGATGGGTCAGTGCCAGGATGGGTCAGTGGTAGATCCTTGCTCCTCAGAAGAAAGTCCTGGTCAACACACCTCACGTGCAGCCACCACCCACCATCCGTGATGACCTGTATCTGCTATGATGATAAACAGATAACATTACATCCTTTAGACCAACAGAGACTAGGAAGAAAGGCCTGGTGATCAACTTCCAGTGAAGTAAACAATGAAAATCCTCTCTGTCATGATGGTCCAGCTTACAGCTGACCATAAGGGTGGCATAAGACCAGGGATTGTTCAGGCCATTGTGTGTGGGCTTGCCTTTAGCTGGGGGCTGATCCAGTGCAGTCGATGGAACGTATGACAAGTCCTGATATTGAGGAATGAATAGATCCAGCAGGAACTTCAAATGCTGGATTGACTTGCTGAGTTTCCCGTCAAGTCATTCACTATCTACAGACTTTGGTAGGTTTGTCGCTGAACGTGTTACAGGGTAAAGCCAAGTTGCCATTACAGGGGGTCTGTGCCCCCTAAAACAGCTTAAAGAACAAGTATTCTCTTTGTCTCTTTCTCTTAATATTTGCAAGGGGAGTGGTCCAGGGTTTTGGTCGTTCCTGTGGCCCTGTCACACTTCCTTCTACATCCTACGTAGAGGGCTACTGAGCAAACCCAGAAGTGCCTTTTCTCTCTCGGGTGCAGAGCTGCAAGCCCCACGCTCCTGGAGACCCAGTCTGTCATCGGCTGATTGTGCTCCTGTGGTTGAAGCAGTGTCAAGTAGTCAATGTTGTCGTGTGCTGTCAAGTCAGAACCGACTCATGGCTGACCCTCCAGTGGGGTTTCAGAGGCAGTAAATCGTGGGAGGAGAGTGTCCATCTTTCTCCGTCAGAGAAGCTGGTAGATTTGGCCACCAGTATTTGGATTGGCAAATCAACCCAGAGAAATTGGTCACTAGACCTCCCTAGAGTTTATTTAGTGGGTGTCCAAAACTTTATCAGAGAACAAGGACATGATTAGAAGGAAAGGCTGAGGCAGTTGCCATGGTGATGTGTGGCCGAACTGAGGTGAGGGTCAGCCTTGGCTGAGCCACAGCCAAGGACTTCTCCTTGCATCTGCCCCACATGCCCTCCTTCGAGTCAGATGAGACCTGATGCTGATTCCTCCTGACATCCACCCTGAGGAGGAGGTAGTCCGCCCTCTGAGAGGTCCCCTACTCCCCTCTTTCTCCTCTATTGCACTTTAAGTTGAAAAATACAAATCCACAGGTTTTCTTCATCAATCACCTCCACCCCCAAGAAGCGCTCCCCAACTCTGAGGGTTCCATATTTATTAGGTTTATTTTAATCAGGAATAAATACATGATTTAGCAGAGTGTAATGCTTCCCCACTTGGAAACCCCTTCCCAGTGCTCCCCGAATGTTCCAGTCACACAACTCACAACAGAAACTATACAGAAGACACTGTGCAAACATCTGAGGTCTGTGGGTCATCCTGTTAGCCCAGGGTCAGTGCCCATGGTGCCCATGGTCATTTCCAATTCCAGGAATGCCCCTTTGAAACAGACTTTGGGAATTGTCAAACCAGTCTCTGCTTATATAAATACTGCGGGATCTGATGTTACAGAAAATCATGACGACATGCGCAGACGTGGCACCCACCCATGACCTCAGATCCACGAAATGCTTTTGGCGACCAAGAAGTCTTCTCCAGCAGACACAAGAAGTTCCACATGTACCCTCCCCACCCCAGATCCCCAGAAACAGGGAGAATGAGTCCCTGGTTCCTCAAAAGCCCCTTCCTTACAGGATCCAGTGGTGCCCCTGGCTCTGTCTCTGGGCCCCAAACTGCACCTTCTCCCTTAACTTGGAGAATGACAAGGCAGGGTTCAGCCACTCCCTCTCCATAACCTTCATTCCCCAAGCATAGCCTCATCATTCATGCGAATCCCAGGCCTTTCTAAGAACGTAGTATCGGAAGGGTGGATTGTTTAGAATTTATAGATTTATTTTAAAAAACCCCAACAAACCAACAATAAACTTCTATCTCTTAATGCAGCCAATCCTTATTTTCTCTGAAGATCTGGCTTAAATAGGAGAGCCTGGATCACCCCTCACCTGATCTTCATCCTATGCTAAGCCGGCAGTGAGTTTTTTCCTGTGGATCTCATAGATTCTCATTCTTTTCACATTCTTTTTCTGCACACCCTTCTCCCCGTCTGTACTCTGAGTGCTTCTGTTGAGAGTGGGGTCATAGTAATCTTTCCACACCCCTACCCCCATCCTATGCAAGTCTTAACAGAGTGCTTCCTCAGGCAGTTGTGAATGAAGGAATGAATGAAGGAATGAATGATGTGCTAATGCAGAAAAGCATCTCAGCAACCCCAGGCGCTCTTTCTGGGTTGCAAAGCCCTGATGGGGATATGGTGAAAGCCTGCACAGTCCCAGCACCCTCTTTTTCTCCGCCATCTCCAGCCTCTTCCCCTCCAGCCTCCTGCACTTCCTTCAGAACTGGGAAGTGTGTTCATGTCTGCACATCTGGTGGCTGCACAAGGGATCTCTTGATTGAGGCCAGTGCAGAGGGGTCTCTGAGGCTCCCCTCACCACCTCCCCGGGTTCCTCACTGTCCCACACTGCAAGCTGCTAAGGAAAGCTAACATTTAGTGTCGCTGAGTTCCCTTCAGAGAAAATGCACGTATCTCTGGTCTCCAGAAGGAAGGGTGTGAAAGCTCGGAGTAGGGAGCGGTGTGTGACTCCAGGCCCTGGCCAGGACCCAGCTGTGTGGCCAGCTTCTTCCAGCCTTTTCTTCTGTGGGAGTTAGTTCTCTCTCCAGTGGCCGCAGAGTGTGGCCATGTGGGTTGTCTGCTGGCGAACAGTGCTGTGCTCTCTGGGGATGTGTGTACAAGGACACACTGTGCACACGCCCACACACACGTGCACATGGGGTCCCTCTGATGCACCAACCCATAGAGTCATAAATCAACATTTGTGACTGCACAGGGCTGGCCAGACACCAGGTGCCTTTGTCACGTCGTGGGCTGAGAGGATGAGTCTCGTCTCCGTGGCTCCTCTGGGCCTCTGGACATGGGTCTCGTGGCCTGTGGTTCAAAGCCCCGATCCTTTGGCATTGCCATGCGTGGGTCTCAGGCTAGTCTTCAAAGTAGGGCGGTGAGAAGAAGGAACTCTTCCTCTTACTCCCGCTGTACATCAAAGACACGCTCTTCTTCTTCCGGTCAAAGGTCGTGCTGTCGTCCCCTGTCAGGGACAGGTAGGAGGCGATGCTTTCCCGGAGGCCATAGCTGAAGAGGGACTCGTCCACACCCAGTGGGCTCCCTGCACCCTGGGCGCCGTCGTCCAGCCTGGGAGTGGGAGGACAGGACAGAGGATGGAGGATGGGGCGGGGGGAAGAAAACAGAGAAGGAGGAAGCAAAGAGCTTGGTCAGCGTTTCTCTATGAACTTGGACTTGCCATCTTGGACAAAGCCTGTCCCTCTTGAATCCTTGTTTTCGTGGGCGACTAAAACTTCCAGCTATCTATCTGTGCGCTCACACATTCACGAAGGACACATGCTCACACACACGTGCACCGTGCAGCCTACCTGGAGGCTCTCTTCCAGTCAAAAGTCTTGGGGCGCAGGGTGACGGGCGTGCTGGGTGGCCGCACGACGAGGGTGGCTGTGTTCTGTGTCAGGCAGGGCGTGGTGAGCACACAGCAGAGTCCATCGGCCACCTCTGGAGAGAGATGGGACACCCAATTAAACATGTGGGAATGCCATCCGTCCAGCCCTCAGGGGTTCACACGGGGGCCAGGACTCAGGGAGGGCAGGCAGTGGCGGACTCAGACAGCAGTCATGCCAGGAGAGTTTCCATACCCTGAGTGTGCCCTGCTCTGAGCTAGGCACAGGGGAATGGGTCTAGGGTCTAAGAAAGAGGCTTGAGTTCCCCTGAACCTCTGATGGGAGAGATGCAGTGCAGTTATAAATGTCAGCATACCCTACTGTGCCCTGAGCACATGGTGGGAACAAGCTGATAGGTGAGAACCCCTGACAGGGTGCCTGAGGGGTCAGCGGCCATGACCGGGTGGTGTTACTGTGTGTGGAGGTGAATCCAGAGCAATCTGCCGTCAAACACCCCTGGCTCCACAGCGTCCAGGCCTCGCTGCCCGAGCACAGCTCCATCCCCTGCAGGGGCAGCCTGTGTGGACGGCAGTCTGGGGTTCAGCGCATCCCACCAAATATACAGAATGGCATTTGGAACATGGGTAAGCCAGGCACACTTGTGGGCAGAAAGGAGGCAGGAAGGCAATGTGGAATGCAGGAGAGGAGAAGGAGGGAGAGGGAAAGAAAGATGGGAAGAGTTAAAGGAAGGAGGAAACAGGGAGAGAAGGGGAGATGGGCTGAGGCAGGGAAAGGAGGGAAGATGGAAGAAGGAGAAGCCAGGAGGAAAGAAAATGCAAAACAATGAAAGACTTGGGCAGGAAAGATACAGAAAAATATAGACAAAGAAGCAAGAGAAAAAACAGACAGACAGGGAGAAACTCTATTCTTAGCCCTAGAGGTTTGTGCGCCAAGAGAATGGACATTGGTTGGGCCTATTTCTGAGTCTGTGGCTACTGTGTTATCTAAGCTTCCACAATCTGTCATCTCTGACCTCCTGCCATTTGAGGAGGGCTCTGTCCTGGCTGTGTTTTGGGGCGTTGGTGTCCTTTTTGCTCTTGTTAGATGCCGTGGTGTCATCACGACCCCATGTGCCACAGAGGGAACAGCTTCTGCACCATCCTCATCCTCACATCTGCTCCGGTACCAGAGCCCGTAGTTCCAGCCTCTGCACCAATCTATCCCCCCCAGAGCCGCTTCCTTTTGTAGATTGAGGAAATCTGGAAATCCTGTGCAATCTTTTACAGTTTGGAGACTTGATGAAATCCATGTGACAGGTGACAAAGAGATTCAGGTCCAAGGACAAGCAACGTGGCTGGCCTCTAGCAGGGCTGGGCCACTCTGGGCCAGAGCGAGTCGCTTATGATGGACATTTCATTCTGATAGTCCCTGCCCTTCACCTTCTTGAAGGAGCTCTGGGTGTCTTTGCTAGCAAGCAGAAGGAAGCGATGGCTGCAGAACACCAGACTTCAAGAGTCACAAAACGCATTGCCTTTGAGTAGGAACTGACTCATAGTTGACTCTGGGGGTTTCTGAGGCTGTAAATCACATGGGAGGAGAGTGCCCAACTTTCTTTCCTCCATAGGGTGATCTGGTGGATTAGAACCACTGGAGAGGTGTGGCATTTGGATTGGCAGCACAGCTCTCTGTCTAGGCCCCCAGGACTCCCTTACAGAAGGTGACCATCAGGAAGGCTCTGAGTCAAGGTTTCAGTCTGACGTTCATGGTTATTCTGAGTGTCCACCCACACGGATGTGTAAAGAGAAGTGAGGAATCAGACCTTGAGGTTCAAGGCAAGCTTAATTGGATGTGAGTCCAAAGTAATTGCCTGTCACAGATTGGAAACGGAAAGGAACCCGAGGTTAGGAGGTGAAGGAGACGCAGCCAGACGCAAATCTAGAGAAATCCACCACAGTCAGCAGCCCAGGCTGGGAACCTCTGACAATCCCTCCTTGTCAAGGACAGTGCCTGGGGGAAAAGAGACATTTCCAAAGGGAGCAAAACGCCATTCACATGCTCGGAGCAGGCGTTGGGTGCCAACCGCTCAGGCAACAGCTGGTGAAGCTTTCTTTCACCAAGTCCCCAAGACACCTTGGTGCAGCCGGGATTGTCACGACCTTTGGGGCAAAGGGAACTTGACGACCGGTGGTCAAGTCACTCATTCAGGCCACAGAAACACGATCCATCTCCAAATCATTGATTCTGAACCCCAGATCAGTCAGCGACTGTTGACTCAACCCCAAGATTGCCAGAGAACAGTGCTCCTTGGAGTTCCAATGGTTAGGAATTTTTTTTTTAAGTAGATAGCCAGGCCTTTCTTCCAAGGTACCTCTGTGTGTACTTGAATCTACACCTTTTCTTTAGCAGCAGAGTGTACAGGTTTACCTCACCCTAAGAATCTACCTTGCCATGGACCTATATGGCAAACACACACCAACACCCAGGACAGGGTCTCCCTCATCCAGCTTCATGTGTGCTCTGGTGCCCACAAGCTGTGTGACGTGGGACCAGTGTGGGAGGAGGTGAAAATTGACTGCATCGTTCCTGCTCTGGACCCCTGAAGGGCTTGGGACCAATTGCAGTTATTTGCAGAAGTGGACCCATAATTTTAATCCCTTCCTTGATATATGTGGCCTGGGAGCTCTTTTAGGAAGGAAGGCATTCAACTGGCCAGCATGGGAGATCCCAAGAGTGGCCAGAAGCCTGGCTTGGACTCCCCTTGCCTGGGAGCCCAGGTGCCCTGTGTAAGTGTTTGCTGTACCACTTCCTTTCAAGTTTGCTTTTGTATATGCAAAATTGCTGGTATCCCCACCCTTCAGATGCTTGTTATTAAAGGCCAATACCACGCCCGATTCTCACTCAAGGTCACGGAAGTGGCCTGCCCCCAGGACCCCCTTCCTCTTTCATTTTCAGCAAACTGCCAGACTCCTGCTGTCACAGGAGTCAGATTCATCACAACTGCTCTTGTATCTACCACGTCCCAGGCTGGATCAGACACCTTACACGCACAGTGGCGCCTCACAGTCCCTGCAGCCACCGTCTCAGGGCCCGTCCTCACGCACTGTCCGTGTAAAGGCTCTATGGTCTCGAGAAGTCCCTCATTCTGCTTGTAGGTGGCAAAGCCTGGCTGCCCGCTGGCTTGGACCAGTCCCTCCAGGCAGCCACTTTCTCCTCCTAACAAGGCTTTTCTGGAGCCAGCTAGGATCACCAACGGTCACGTAGACGCCTTTTCTCCTTGCAATGTCCTTTGTGTCTTCAGCTCAACATCTGCAACGTTAAAACTCTGGCAGACAAGTGGACGTCATCATGACCCAAGTCTACTGCCTTAAAGCTGATTCTGACTCAGGACTGACTCAGGACGATACAGACACAGAGGAACTGCTTTGCAGGGTTTCCTGGGCTGAACACCTTTGCTGAAGCAGACTGCTTCGTCTTCTCCAGCAGAGATACCGGGGGTTCCAGCCATAAGCTTTATGGATAGCAGCTTTGTGCTTTAACCACGGTGCTTCAGAACTCGTGACATCAACAGAGTGAAAGCGGCTTCTCTCTGCCCCCTCCAATCGCAGAGGAAGGGATAGCGAATAGTGTGTCCAGCAGAGTCCAGGAGCTGGGCCCAGTAATGGCCTTCCTCACGGGGCGTGCAAGCTCCGTTCAATAACAAACTCCTAGTAAGGTCTGAACAGTATTCGGGGCAAACAGAGGATGAAGGAGAACCACGCAGGGCCAGATGTGGGGATCGGTGCATAAGTAGACCAAGGTTGACCAGCTAACAAGGAGCAGAGCTGGGATGTGAACACAGAATCCCCACAGCTTCATTCTTAACCTCTGCCGTCTGGAATCCTGAGCAGTTTTCCGTATGGAAAAACTCTAACTCCTGTCCCCATGTTAAGTCCTGTCCCGGTCCAGCTTGGCTCTTCTTTTCTGGCTCTGCTCTCTGGCATCCTCGTCTTGGAGGATGCCCTGCCCTGGTCAGCCTGGGCTGAGGAAGGACAAAGAACTAGCACAATACAATCCCTGATCCTAAAGAGCTCCCTGGGAAAGTAGCCTTCAGTGTTCACACACTAGAAGGTCAGTGGTTCAAACCCCCTGGCTGTCTTTGGGAGGGAGTGGTGGCAGTCTGCTCTGTAGAGTCCAGTCTTGGAGACCTTCTGGGGCAGGTCTGCTCTGTCCACGGAACACGATGCATTAGAACTGGTATGCTAGTGGGGGGTTTGGTTTGGAATTTGGTGTGGTGCAGGGAATTCATGCAGCTGTGTCTGAGGCAAGAACAGACTTTACCCAGGAGGGGGAATGGTCTTGGCCTTGAAGGATGGAAAGATTTTGACATGCAGCAAAGGGGAAATGTGTGGTCTTTCAGCACGAAGCCCCAGAGGCCCAAAGCATGGCTGAGTTCAGAAAGTACAAGCTGTCTGCGGTGATGAGTGTAGACGCACCTGAACTTGTGATGGTGGCAGGTAGAGAGAGGCTGGGGGGGGGGAGGTGCAGGGTGGTTGCTATGACAGCATTTTCACACAGGATGCTTTAGCCAGAGCTGAGCAGCAGGAAGCAGGTAACAGAGGAGGGTGTCCAGTGTCTAGTCCACCTAGACTGAGGATGTGGGGGTGGTCAGGGAGCAGGACACAGGGACGGTCCTTACCGGAATAGTGGTTGACCAGGTCCTCCAGGCACTGGAAGGTCAACCTCGGGGAGATGTAATACCAGTTGTTGGGCAGACGGAAGATCCGGTAATGCTTCACCTGCCTGTGCCTCACCGACAGCGAGTAGAAGCCTGAAGGAGGCGGGGCACCATTAGCAGTTGTCCACATTCCCTGCCCGGACAGGTCACCGGTAGACAGAAGGCCCGGTGTCTCGGGACTTTGACAGAACAGTGAGGTCTGGACATGGCACTTTGTATTTAAACTGACAGCTCTCCAGCAATGAAGGATCTCTGGGGGTGTAATGAGTAATCTATAGACTGCTAACTAAAAGGTCATTGGTTCAAATCCAGTGGCTGCTACACAGAATAAAGATGAACAGTCCCTTCCCTTATGGATATATAGCCTCAAAAACTCAGTGGTGGCTCTCTAGGAATCAGAATTGCCTCAATGGAAGAGGGTTAATTTTGGGATCCAAAAACATAGCTCACTGCTGGGAGACCCCCTCATGGCCGGCTGCTGAAGAGGGATACTAACCCCTGGTAGCTCGTGTGTATCAGTGGAGACCTGTGTTTTTGGGGTTCAGTGGCTGGAATTTTTGGAAGTGGTTCACTAGGATTTTCTTTCGAGGCATCTCTGGGTAGACTAGACCCCCTAACTATTCAACTAGCTGATGATGACATTAGCTATTTACACTGCCCAGGAATGCTCTCACAGACCACTGAGAATACCCAGACTTTTTGTTGTCATGTTAATTGCAGCTGAAAGTGACCCAGATAATAGAGTAGAATTGTCCCATCAGGTCTCCAGGGCAGTGTGATCTTCATGGAAGCAGATTGGTCACCATTCTCCTAAGGAGCTGCTGCTGAGTTTGAACCACTGACCTTTAGGTTAGCAAGCAAGTGCTTAAGCATTGAACCACCAGGGTTCTTAAACGAACCCGGATCACAGGATAAATCATTTTAGCAGTTGCTGTGCATTCATCATTGCCTCGTTTTAAGTACTTTCTTTAGTTCTTTCTTTTAGAGGTAAATACTGAGATGTTTTCATGTATCCTAGAGCATTGAATGTACCATGGACTGCCAAGGAAACAAACAGATCCATCCTAGAGAGGGTTAAACCAGGCTACTCCTTGGAGGCAAGGATTCTGGGGCTTCGTCTGACATACTTTGGACGTGTTGTAAGGATGGACAGGTCCTTAGAGAGGGACATCATGCTTGGTAGAGTAGAGGGACAGCGCAGGAGGGGAAGACCCTCTATGAGGTGGATTGATTCAGTGACTGGGGTAAATGGGATGGGTGTGTCAGAGGCAGTGCGATTGGCACAGGATAGAGCAGGGTTTAGGGCTGTTGTACATAGGGTCACTATGAATTGCAAACGACTCGACAGCACATAACAACAACAACAACAGTGTGATTTCTTGACTGAAGCGTTGGTAGCTTAGTGGTAAGGAGTTGTGCTGCCAACTCAAAGACACACAGTTCAAATCCTCCAGCTGCTTGGTGGGAGAAAGAGGCACAGTCTCCTGCCGTGTGATTTGCTGTCTCTCAAAACCCACTGGAGAGTCAGCTGTGGGTCAGTTCTGACTCCATAGTCCATAATAACAATGCGTCAAATGGCATCCTACTAGTCTGCCTGCAATGTGTGGCTCTGGTGCCAGTGGCCACGTGTACTCCTCAGTGTGCCCACTCTGCGGGGATGGCCCTTGTTTGCCCTCAGCCACACCCCACCACTGCCACAGTTACTCGTGAAGGGGGTGCCTACAGCGATGCCCCCTTCCCTGGCCCCCAATCCCTCTGACTCGTGCTTGCCTGTCTCAGGAGTTTGGGAGAAATGACAGCTAAGATAGTGTCGGGGTGTAAAGTTCTCTTAGCATCAGGATCCTGTGTCGGTTTGTAAGAGTGTAACCAGGGTTTCCAGTGACTTGGGCAAGTGTCTTCTCTCTTCAGCTGGGTTTCCCCAAATGGAAAGTGAGGGGCCCTCCCCGGGCTGTCTGCTGGGTGCCACAGGGGAGAGAGTATGGGGGTGGGGTGGGGGGAGATGAGCAATCACTGGGCCTTTGTAGTCTGTAAAGGGCAGAGGGAAGGAGTTTTCAAAGCCACCAAACCAAACTCATTTACGTGGGATCGGTTCCAACTCCTGGAGACCGCCCATTGGGTTTCTGAGGCTGCAAATCAGGACAGGAGGAGACTCCCTCCTCCCTTCGCCCCCGTCAGAGCAGCTGGTAGATCCAAACCATTGACTCTTTGACTGGCAGCCTAACACATAAGGCTCGACCCAACCAGGCTCCATCAGTTGTCGTAAAGACCTTGGGAAGGACTGCCCTGTCCCTAGGTGTTTGCTCAGGAGAGAACCTGAGACTTAATGCCTGAAGGATCTGCCTGGGGATGCAAACCTGGGGTCCGGTCTTTGTCCTGAGAGGCCCGTTAGCATAGTAGGTGGGCACCCAGCCTTGCCCCAGAAGTGCCCTCTGAGACACCGCCCTGTGTCTTCTGGTAACCTGGCCTGGGCTGACAGGGCGCGCAGGCTGAGGGCAGGGCGGCTGGAGAACCATCACCATTTTGCATACCCAGCGAGCAGAGCCTGCCCCCAACTGCTGGGCCCTGCTGCGCGTCCCCCTGAGAAGATGCCTCTATTTTCAGAAGCTGGTTCTTCCCCTCCACAGCTGGCCAGCTTCGGGGGCTCCATCTGGGTCTCGGTGTCCGACTTTGGGGACCCCGGGGACAGACACGCGGAGTTTCACTTGTTTTCATCTTGCTTCCCCCAGAGCATTAGAGTTTTGAGAGAACTTATTCTTGGGTTTGTGCTTTGCTGCCTGTACCGCCATTGATTGCCCAGAGCAAACCGGATGTGCGTTTGAGTGAAGGACTCCAGCACCAGGTGGCCCTGGCACTTAGGATTTTAAAATTTACTCTTAGTCTGTCAAAGGATACTCTGCTGGCTTCGTGGTAAGGAGTTGTGCTGTTAACTCAAAGGTAATAGGTTCGAATCTACCAACTGTCCCTCAGAAACAAGGTGGGAAATATCTCTTGCAGTTTACTGCCTCTGAAAACCTGCTGGAAGGTCAGCTATGGGTCTGTTCTAACTCAATGACACTCGACCACAACTGTCTGAGAAAGTCTTAGCTGTTAACTTTTACTCCTGCAAGTTTGGTTTGGTTTGTTTTCTAAGTGCTATGACATGTATGGGGAGCTCTGGGGTACAGTCTGGAGGGAGTTGACCCTATCCCAAGGGGATGCCTCCCTAGTGGTTTGAATCCATCAATGGCTCTTCAGAAGAAAGCTCCTCCCGTGGGATTTTCAGCCTCTGAAAACCCACTCTCAGAGGGCCAGTTGTCACCTGATTCTGACTCCACAGCAATGAGTCGTGTTTATGAGGTGGCATGTCCTTGGCTGCTTACCAGAGGCTGGCATTTGGAACCCCCCCAGTCACTCCATGGAGGAATCTGCAGCCACAAACCCCCAGCTAGCTAGAAAACCCCATGGCACAGTTCTACCCTGTCATACGAGGTCACTGTGACTCAATGACTACATCCCAAGGGGCCTAGGTGCCGCAAAGCACAAGGTTGGAGGTTTGCATCCACCCAGCAGTGCTGTAGATGAAAGCCTGGTGAGATGCTTCCACTGATGATATTACAGCCAAGAAGACTCTTGTTCTTTCTACTCTATACCACGTGGGTCTCCCGAGTTGGAATGGACTCCATTCAAGGGTTTAATGGTGGAAGTGCTTGGCACTGTGGTCAGAGTTTGGCAGTTCCCAGCCCATGGTCCAGGCAAGGGGACCGAGCTTCCTCACTGAGCGGTGTGGCCAGTCCAGCTTTCAGAGCCCTCACACCGAGCCACTACAAAGGGCTCTGCTATTCCTGTGTTCACTGAACTACTTAACCAGCAGAGTGTAAGTGAAAGATGATAGAGATTGTGATGAACGTGGCAGAACACACATTTCCTTGTCCTGGTGCTGTGAGCTGATTTAGGGTACAGAAGCCACTGAAGTAGCAGGAACACTACAAATATTAGTCATTGCATTCTCATCAGAACCTAAAGAAGGAAGAACTTTCCCTCCATTTCACAGATGAGAACACTGAGGTCAGCCATGTCTCCCAGTGAGAGCAGGTAGGGAGACCAACTCGAGGGGCCTCAGCCCCTCTGCCCAACCCACCACTCGCTCCTGGTGGCTGGCTCTGTTCTCAACTGGTTTTCCAAGGAGTTTGGAAGGAGCTGGTGCTTGTCAGGGAGCCCCAGTGGTGCAGTGGTTAAAGTGCTCTGTTGCTAACCAAAATAACAACATTGGAGCCCACCAGCTACCCTAAAGTTCTCAGCCTTGAACCCCAATGATTCTATTCTACTCTGTCCTATAGGGTCACCTGACCTGGCTGCAATAGGGCTTAAAGTGCACATGGAAGCCCTGGCAGCAGAGTGGAGTAAGCCTTAGGCTTCTAGCTTTAAGGTTGGCAGTTCAAATCCCTAGCCACTCTGTGAGAGGAAGAGGAAGCTTCCTGCTGTTTTAAAAATGTGCAGCCTTGAGAATCCCACAAGGCCGTTCTACTCTGTCATAGGTCGCTAGGAGTCAGAACTGGAGATAGACAGCAATGTGGTGGGTGTTCAGGAGCTCTGGGGCCTAGTGTTAGGAAGCTGTGCTGATAACCAAAGGCTAGAGGTTCAAATCCACCAGCAGCGCTCAGGGGAAGGTGGGCCATCTCCTCCCATGCAGTTTACAGTCTCTGAAAACTCACTAGCAGTTTTCCCACAGTCAGCTATAAGTAGATTCTGACTTGACAGAAATGAAAGGGGGAGTGTTGGCAGTCAGGGCCGGCGGCAGTGTCTAGCCAGGTCCCACCTCACTCTTCCAGTCCCTCTGAGCCTCCCTGGCCACGTGTGGGCTTCAGGGAGCTAATGACATGAGACTGAGCCATGTCAGTTGTAGGAAGTGGGAATATGACCGGGCCATAAGTCAGTGGGACCAGGACCTGCGTGCTGGACCCAGTCTGGCCCCCTCTCCCTTCTTGGTCTGGTTGTG